TGATTACAAAATAAAATTTGATTACGAGATAACTTAATTAAATAATATAATATAATTTTTTATAGTATTTAAATTTTTTTTATTTTACAAGATAATAACTTCATTAATTTAATTAAAAAATAAAAATAAAATATCTCCATATTCCTTAAATTATTTTTCCATTTTAATCATGCACCCTAACCGTAATTCTAAATTTTTAAATCACCTGTAACTTTATCCCCTGAAAATTGATTTGCGCCTTTATTCTTAGAATCTTGAATTTTTAATTTGTTCCTAAAATAATATTATGATTTTCCTAACTAAGTTTTTAAAAAGTATTATTCTAAAAGTCTTAAAACAATATAATAAATCTAGTCTTTATATTCTATTATTACTAGATATTTGGTTTAGAAGTTTTAAATTTTGATTATGAATGCTTCTAATCAATTTTAGTGATATTTATGTTAAATTTTATTTACTTTTAACAAGATTTAGAAGATGTGATTAAATTATTAGTGCATTAAGAAAAAAAAATAATTTTAATATTTAAGAATTATTTACGTTGTACTAAAAACTTTAAGTCATTTTTTATTGTTCTTGGTGCTTCTAGTAATGTAACCAAGAAGAATTTTCAAAGTTTTTCAATTTTACAAATGTAAAGAAGTATAAAAACCTATTTATAATTTATACATTTTATTATGTTTTTACTAATTTGGATGTTAATGTGTTTTATAGTTATGTTTTCTATTTGATGTTAAAATATTTTTACATTATCTCATATATTTAATAATGATAAAAACTGATCAATCCGATTGAACTACACCGATCCGATTTAAGTTGGATTTATTTTGTTATCATATAATAGTGGATTAGATTGATTTAAAAAATATTAAAATTTGAATCAAACCACACAGCAAACACCCTAATATTGGTTGCATTAGCCCAACAACCAACAATCATTGCAATATGCAAAAACAGAAACAAAGGGCTTAACATTACAATTAGTCTCTCAGTTTCATAATAAAAAAATTTTTTATAATAATCATTTTATCATATTTTAAGAAAGATAGATATATATATATATATATTTTATTTTAACTTTATGATTATTTCTCAACTTATAATTAGTCATAATCTGATAAAATATTTTCTATATTTTATTTATTTTTAAGAACAAAATAGATAAAAATAAAAATCATTTAAAAAATATCAATATAAAATAAAAAAATATTTATTATTTTGGAACGAAAGAAATATGAAAATGGTGTTAGGAAACCTCTAACCTGGCCTGGATTGGATGAAGAGTTTGAGACTTGTATTCAAGGGAGATGATGATCTGATGGGAATATAACTTGTGCTGGTTTTTTCTTTGGTGTTTACATATTGTTGTATGTACACATATTCATAAAAAATGAAACAATTTCATTAGATATTTTTTTGAGGCACTTGGCCTTTGTGGCCCAATGGTTAGTGCTATTGAAAAAGTGCATATCCCTCTTTTTTTGTTGGGTTTCGAACTCGACCCATG